ATTGAACATTGGCATTGGCGAAAGAGGCAATTTGTATATATAATCACTGAAGTCTCACTGCAGCCAAAACTACAAGACCATCTCCTGTTTTAGCGTACTTATGCCCATTGAACTATCTAAATTGAAGCTCAGGATGTCCAACTCCAGACATAATTTCTCAATGTAAAAACTGCCAATTCCCAGAGTGTCACTGAAAATACTAGTCATTGACAAGTAAGAAAGTCAGGCTCTTATAAAAAAATTTGTTATATACCTTGTCCTTTAGGGTTACACAAAGTTAAACAGCTTTTAAAAGCATGTTTAGGTTTTGAGAGTGAACACTATCTCCCATAAGATGCGCTTCAAATACAATTTTCATAAAAAGCAACCTGTGTAATTAAGTCTTCTTTGGGGGATAACAAAACCAATCACAGAGGAAGGTCATGTTGTTTATACCAAGTGATATCTAAAATATTTAGCCATAATTTCTCATTACTCCAATAATACTAATGGATCCAGAATCTATCCTGAAAGACTTGATTGGCACAATTCTGCTAAATTCAAATTTGATTTTTGAAAGTCTTTTCCTGTGTTTTACAATATTTGGGGAACATATACAACTTCAGAGAAAATATATCAAAGAGCCCGTTCATGGTTAGACATCCATTCTCCCTCAATTAGGTCTCTCTTCCAAGTTGCGTCTTGGTTAATATGTGTTAAAGCCTTTGAAGCTTTAAAAGCCTGTGATACTATAAATAAACACATCTGAATCACCAAATGGGAAAACAGGGACAAAAGCATTACTTCTGAATTTTTCTAATCAATCTGCTTAACCCTCTGGATTCCTGAAGTTTAAAGAGAAGGCTAGAATGACAATATACTCATGAGATTATGCCAAAAAAAAAAAAAAAAAGAAGTGGATAAATTACTTTTCCTAATAGAGCTCTAAATATTATGAGTAAATATTCTTAAAGAGTCATAATAAGTTTTCAGGAGAAGCAACGCCCAGGAATATTAAGAAACTTGTATTTTCAAAATCTTAACACACAATAACAGAAAATGATTCACCTGGCCCAATATGCATCTACCACTAATAATAAAAATGTAAATAAAACTGAGACCTTTGCTACTTAATGACAGTTAAAAGAATGCTGATTCTGAAAAATGCAAAAATTGGTTTACTTATTTTAAAAAGAGTACATAATTTGTTCTTAGAGCGTTTCACAACCACAGTACGCTATTGAAATGTGCTTAATTTTTATTTATACAACTGTACAAAAAATTACCAAAATTAATTTTTTCACTTCTTTACTTGAATTCCACTAAAGTTAATGCTCATAAGTTTTGCGGAAAATATAGTTTGCATAACTTAGCATTCAAACTGTTCTTACTGACATTTAAAGAAGGAAAGCAAAGTTAACTTATTAGAGAACTTATTAAAGAAACCTGGTACTTAAAAATATAGTTGATTAGAGACAATCCTAATGATCTAGTTACAATCTCTAAGATCTAGTTACAATAATTATTACATATTTTATTAGTGAAACAGAGAAGCAAAAAGGACCAAAATGCTATTTATTTTGTTCCTATAAATAATTTACTTACTTTAATTGCCTTTCATTTTCCATGTGTATAAATTACACACCATTATGATAAAGGAAATTCATATTTGTAGAAAAGATAATATGATGTGTTTTGTTATGATTCAAAATTGCTCCCAAGAGCCAAGAACTTAATGCATTTAAAAAATTCTATCTAAAGGCATATAAATCATAAATTTATTATGACAATAACATTTTTTCTCACCTTGAAGTCATTTAATTTCTGGTTCAGTTTTGATCTTCTTATATCATTATTTCGATGCCCCCAAACTACATTCATGGGCTCTTTAAAACTGTCCAAGAAATGTAGCAGAGAGGGAAAAATTGGCTTACTTTTAGAATGAATAATTTAAAATAGGCCTATAAAGCAGTTTGTGAAGACTAAAATGATATGGTCTTTAAGCTGTCAACATAAAAGAGGGAGTTAAAATGTAAACAAAGTACTATGAACATTTATAGTTCCTTGGTTAACTTTTCAAGCCAAAGGATGTGTTATCTTTGTCAACTTTGCTAACTTTCAAGCCAAAGGATTTGTTATCTGTATGTCAATTGGAGGAGCAGGCCAAATGTAGAAGGTTTAACTGAGAAATGCAAAACTGAATCAATAAGGAAAGGGAGGAAAAACTAAGTGGGCCTCTCCAAAATCCCAGTGTTGAGTGGTGATTGTTACAGGAACATTGTGTGGGGCACAGAACATGGGCTGTGGATTCAAAATCTGGTTTTGCCTCACAGCAGCTTTGTTACCTTTGGCATTCAACTTAACCTCTTTCCCTCGATTTCAATAAAATGGGGTGAAAAAAACCTTCCTTGCAGTTGTATATGTGTTACTATAATTATGTGGTGATGCATGCAAAGCAGGTACTCAGTAAATGCTGTCTGAATGTTGAAGAGCCTACAGAGCAAAGTGGATGAGAACAAGTTCCCTGGAGAGGGATTTCTGTCTCGTTTCCTATTCTACCATTTATAAAATGAAATACTGACTGACAAGGGGCCAAGTTTTTAATCTAACTTTTAACTTTTCAGCAGGAAAATAAGCATAGTAATAGTCAGATCTCAGGTTGTTGTGAAAATATAATGAGATAAATATATAACACTTTTAGTAGAGTCACTGACATATAGTAAGTGCTCAATATAGCCTATCTACCATTAGTAATGTTTTCAGTATTTTACACTTCTCTTTATGTGACTTTACAAACATATGCTGGAAAATTAATAGACTGGTTCCCTATAGGGTAACCAACCATTCTTGATTGCTTAGAAGTGTCCCAGTTTTAGCACTGAAAGTCTTGCATCTTGGGAAAACTCTCAGTCCCTGACAAACTGGAACCACTGGTTGTCCTACAAGTTCATCTACAGTTAATCAAAAACAAACCGTGACTAATGAACCCCTTATCTTGCATACTGGTCTTCATTTATCCGGGATTTACTCATGATAACCTGAATTCTCTAATAAGAGAGATCCCAGTAAAGATAAACTTCAGCTCACAGAAGTGGGATTTCTATGCTGTGAACTTTTCCTTTCTTTTGGTCTATGTGAGCTTAAAATATGATTTTAATGAAATTTCTTGAGCTTGCTTCTATCCTTTCGAGGTTTTGAGAGCCATGTTCAGTGGCTAAAGTGTGCCATCTTAAATCCCTAAGGAGAGGCGCAGCATCCTTTTTCTGACCTATACCTTGCTGAATGCATTTTGGGATGTGCTTCTTTGGTTGTTTCTAAAAATGAGGTCTATTCTGTGAGGCACTTCTACATCCTGTTTCCAAGGAATGCTTGGAAGGGTGATGACACCTCTCAGCCAGGACACACTGACTATATAAAAACATAAATTGACATGCTCTGCAGAGAGGCCCTAAATGTGCATATTTCATGCAGACTTTACGTTATACTTATGGATTTTGTTTTGTTTTATTTAGCTAAGTACAGCTTTTCCTAGTAATATATATGGAAAGAGCTCTAAATGAAGAATTATTATATTTTTCTTTCTTTTGGATAAAGGAATTAGGTCATGGCCATGTATAATATGAATCTAATACTTTTAGCACACTAAAATTTATCTTGAAAATCCAACTACATTCTTCCGCACTTAAGTAAAATTACATTGGTCATTCTTGTACTACTGAATCTAATGTTGTGTTTCCAATATCTGACGTAAAAATGCAGGATGGCTAGAAATCTATGCAAAATCTATGGCCAAAACATCTTGATCTCATTGAATTTTTAAATTTTTAATTAATATATGTATTGCCTAATATATCAGACACTATGCCAGAATAATATATATGTATAGTGCCTGAATATAAATATTGTTAAATACATTTTTATAAATACAGATTAAATATGTAACTGAAAATGTTCTCTTTGTAATACTGAGATACATAACACATAACTAGATACACTAAGAGTGAGAAATAATATATTTGGGATTTGTACTTACTAAAATAGGATACACCAACATGTAGTGGAAAAGGTCAAAAGTAAAAAGATCTGGGTTTGTAGTCTACTACTGAAGAGCAGTTTGGGCAAATGTCATAATCTCTCTAAACTTGTTTCCTTATTCATAAAATAGGAATGATGCTATTTTCAGAACTAGCTTTGCGTTAATTTGTTGTTACTATGGACAACAAATTAATTCAATCGTTAGTCCACTTTCAAATATTGAGAAAATGTACTTTTATTAAATTATACAGAATTACACAATTATTAAATATAATTAACCTTATCACATTAAGCTGAAAACGTATGTTCAAATAGTTAATCATCAGGCCAACAGCAACTCTGCACAGAAAATGGTGTGGGCAGCATATGACTGTGGGGGGAATCCTGCAACCTATTTGAAATTCAAGTGCAAAGACCAAAAGTGCTGAATGGTTTTCCTCTCCTATGACTCTCAGAAAGATAAAATTAGTGGGTATTTTAACAGTATTGAGGCAAACCAAAGCAACATTTAGGCAGCAGCTTCTCAGATGTATGACTGCAGCCAGGGTCAGAACATTCACTAAGGTTACTGCTATCTGGAAAGTAAAATCCAGAGATTTTCTACTTTTACCAGGTATCACCCTGAATAGAAGAATTAAATCTTTTATCTATGAGAGCAGGGGAATGCAAACAAACAGAAACAAAGAAAATGTCATTTTCCAAGGAGAGTTGTTTTCTAGTTGTCAGTGTAGATAAATTAAAAAAAAAAAAACAAACATTAATTTTAAATAATTTTTTTAAAAAAACATTAATTTTAAAGTAATCTCTTTGATGTAAACATAGAATATGAAATAATTAATATCAAATACACTACAAAGTCATTTCAGGAAAATAGCTACCTGTTAATTTTGCTCATTATTTCAATAAATACCATTATATAACTCTTGTATATTATTATTTTTAAAAGTAACAATATTAAATGGTTAAAAAGTTATGTTAATATTTACCTTTTGTGGAAGAGTTATATTTTTCTTGTTCTTCAATGAATTAAATGCACATAATGATGGAAACAAAAGAAAGAAATCAGCAAATTTATAGTTAGACATGGAAATGTGAATTAACACAATGGCATGAATAATTAAAATGCATAACATATAATGTGACATGATAAATTGCAATGAAAAACCATGAGTTCCCAAATATGGTACTAAAATTAATCAAAGAAAGAATGAATACAGCAATTTAAAGATTTAAAATGAAACAAAAACATTGGGAAATTAGTATGTTTGGCATTTGAAAAATATATTCTGTATTATTTTTTCTTTCCTTTTAAGAGCTATATAAAATTTCAGTACCAATTTTATTAAAACATCTCAAATCCATTGTGATTTTTGTTGGAAAAGTATTTAAAAGCATACTTAATTTTCATAACAAAAATTTTTATCATTTCAAAAATGAAAGTTCATATGATAAAGTCTCATATGATAAAATGAAATTTATTTTTTTATCTGATAAATAAAAAATGAACTCCATTTTTACACTTTGTTTGCACCATGGAAACTATTCTGTAACACTTTCCACATGAAAGAAAATTCTAATTTAAGTAATCCTTTCTTTCTTCTCAAATTAATTACATTAAAATACACCAAAGTAAAATTAGTTGTTTTGTAGAGACTATACTTCTTAGACATTTTATAAGGCTTTATATCCACCTCTTCATTTTGTACTATTTACAGAGGACTAATGGCCTGTTTCTATATTCCTGAGGAGGAATATCACTGGAGTTTTAGGTAGGTGATAAAACAATGGAAGATATAAAACATAACTAACACATCATTTACTGTTAGTTTGTGAATCATCTCTAAATACTTCTTTAAAAGATCCAGTTGAGCACAAAAAAAGTTACTGGTTGGTTTCAGAAATCCATTTTTATACAACCAAATAAGCTGTCTTCAGCCTTACTATACATAAGGGATATGCTGGGATATCGTGTTGAAATATAACCAGAAAAATGTTGTGGAAGTCTTTGCTTTCAATTATCACATACCATTAGAGTTACTTAAATTATAAGGCTACTTTTTCAAGTACTCTACCTCAAAAATCTGTATTGTGATCACCTCTTTGTTTTTCCCCTAAATCTACTTTAACATAATCAGGCTCTATGTAGCAAACAGGCTAGCATTCTAAATTTTTAAAATAAACTTTAAAACACCTTTTCAAAAATTGAGTAAACATGTCTTTTCATATATGTTAGCCTTTAAGAGCTACTGCCTTTATGGTATAAATAGAGAGTAGTATATTTGATTTACAAAAAACAAAAACAAAACAAAAAAAACCCAAAAAACCATACTTTCGGTGAAACAGTCAAATTGTCCCGGCATACATTCCAAAATCAGTAATGTAGATAACTGTACCCAGAAACTGTGTATGAATAAAATTATTTTATAAGTGCCTCAAGAAGGAGTATCAGTATCTAGTAATCTAAACCATTTGAAATATTTGTTCTTACCAATCAGCTGTTTATCAAATTATTTTCTAAACAGAAAACCACCCTTTGTTAAAAATTAAAAAAAAAAATGCGAAGGAAGTTAAGTGCAGTAGGGGCTTAATCAATTGTAATAGACTGTGGTGAGCATTAATCTTCATGGGAGATGGAACTAAAGTTTAACAAATAATATCAAAAGAATAAAATGACATAATTCTATAGCCTTAAGAACAACAATAAAATCAATCTTAAATAGAACATGCTAAATCTTATCTAACTCATACATCAAATCAAAATTTACTTTTATAAACATATTTTAGGACAAACAAAGCTGTCATGTGGACTGTTCATTTTGAAATAGAATCATAAAAAGATGACGGCAGACAGTATGATCATTTACCAAAAGTCCCAAAGCACATATTTATATCATAAAAAAAACCAGGTCTCTTTTATTTATAGGACATTTATATATATAAAATACACGCTTGTTGTCACATTTTTTAAAAGCTGTACGTATATAACTCTAAGGATCATATATTTCAGGAAACTCAAATAACCAAAATGTTTATTAGTGTATTTGTCATATTAAATATCAAAATAACTCCACCAATGTAGTCATTCCCTTCTTCCCACCTTAATTCAATCCTTACAAATTGATGATTTCTCTGAAAGACAACTGTGAATACGAATATCATAAACAGTAACGTTGATATTAACAATAGAACATGAGCTTTTTAAAAAAACCAAAATCCAACGTACAATATAACTGATTTTGTGGAAGCAATTCTTATTTATACAGAAATAATGAAATAATGTAACCACAATCTCACTATAGGAGAGTTATATGCAGTACCCTTATATGCTTTTGAACCCATAAAATATTTTATTTGCAACTGGAGGAAATGCAAAGAATTTTAGGAGCACACGAGTTTTAGAATATCAATCTTTAGTAAAATATGATCGGTAACACCGACTTTGTAACTAAACACCCACATTTGTAGTTCTTTCAGTTGTGCAACAGGAGCTCATGAATACATACGTTAAATAAACACCAACTTTTGTTTTAAAAAATAAATTTTAAAACAATTTCATCTGGGTTATTGCCAGATTAATTATGAATAATTTTAAAATGTTCCCAGAGAGGAGAGGAAAAATGTTAAACATGTCAATTAATAATTCCAATGAATTAACTGCTATTTTAAAAAAGAAAGTCAGAGTTTCACAACACATCATATTTTCATGGTTCACTAAATGAAAACCCTTTTAGCAACCCTGAAAACTAAAGCATGGAGCATCAATAGAATGTATTTTTAAAAATATAAACTCAAGAGTTTATCACACCAGTGTTACTCTATTAATAAGTTGATACCTTTAAAAATCTACACTAATTTTCCTATAATCAAGTATTCTGCATGGCAATCTATGCCACATCAGTCTTTGAAACAATGCATTTACCTTCTGAGATCTTTAACATTTCTGTGATACATTCAGTAAAGAAATTCAGTTAAGTGAGAAAAACAAGTACCCCTGTACCCTCAATATAAAATGAAATGCAAGTTTTCCATCAGCAACAATAACACTGCTAAAAAAAATAATCAAAGTGTTAACCTTTCAGTTGTTTCACAGGGATGAAGGTTTTTAATAAATATCTTAAAAATGATTCTATTACATTTATATTACAATCCCAAAGTAGAAATTATTTTAGTAAATTGCTTACCAAATCCCTGATTAAAAATATGTGATAAAAAATAATGATACAAATCATTTCACCTACTAAGATATGTGATAGCACTTTGGGTCACATGAAGAATACTACTTTAACCTAGTGTCTAAATCATCTAGCTCAGGTAGTTTAGAGAATTTAGTTTCTACTAAAATCAGACTGTATACATTCTCTCTCTCTCTCTCTCCTTCTTTGTTGCTCAGAAAATGAAGCAATAATATATGCATAAAATAAGAAAATCTTCAAGCAATATGAATTGCTGAAGACACTAAAACATGTGTTCTGTCATTTTTTTCATCATCAAACTTATATTAAAATATAGGCTACTGCTAATCAAGTTAAACGAAAAAAATAGTAAAGGATTCAGAATGATTAAGTTTAATTTTTAAAACATATTTTAAAGGTAAAATATTCTTTTAACACATAAAATGCCATATCGTACTGCGATTTTAAAATTTTATTTTCTTCCTTTGCCCCTTTGGAATAAGATGTTTCTAGGCCTCCATCCCTTCTGTTAAACGACCATCTAAAATTCATTCATCCAGCAAAACTCACTCAGCAAAAACTGTGTGCATGCCATGAACCACTGTCACTAGGTGTTGAGGATAAAGACTGTAAGAAAATTAAATTTTTAGGATTCAGCAAACTATATATAATCAAAATACTATTCATTTAATAAAAGGGGTATAAATAGAGGAGGTTCTCAAATCCAAGATTTTTGGACAATGATCTCTCTTTATCGGATACCTTGTTCTATACTGCCGCTTCTCACTGGCACTTGTGGGAGCTGTCTTCCCCTACGACTGCTGAACGATGTGTCTGCTGGAGGAGATTGTGTTGGACTTCTCTGTCGGTGCATTCTGCAGGCAAAAAGCAAAGTGGGCATGAAATAATGAAATTCCAACGTGGTCTGACAAAAACCTTTTCCTCCTTTCTGTTACTATTAAAATAGACATAACCCCCCTCACTGGGCCAATGGGAGCAGAATCAAACACTTTTTATGATATGTATAAATGGAATATTACAAAAAGGGGTTAAATGAGATAGGGCAATGTGCACCACACACAGTTCTACATAATGAATTCTTAAACTGAGTAGAATCCAATTCACTTCTTTTCATTAACTTTCTATTAAGTTGTTCTACCTGGGCAAGTTATTCAGTTTCGGCATTACTGAACCAAATATATCTAATTACAGCCTCTGGACCTTAACAATATGTATAAGCGAGGTAAGAAAGGCTGTTGCCTAAACTGCTACTCTTAAGTTGATCTAGACTATAGAATTATTTATAACTGATAAGAATTCTAGCTGCAGACTTTTATAAATTACCACTCACTTGTACTTTATTTCTAAATAGGAACAAATTTGAAAGATACTTAAAATAATCCTGGACACATGTTATGAAATACACTGGTGCTAGCATTAAAATTACAAATAAAAATTTGAGAAGTGTGCAGATGTATTATTACTGCCCAGGATTATGCGGACTTCCATCTGTTGACATTTAAACACTTTTCAAACTAAAGAACTTTAACACATTCTAACACTTTAATGAACACATATAAAAGATTCTTAAAATTTCCTCTTATGCTTTCTAAAGTAAGCACACATTTAATTCCAGGTAATTTATCATAAAAATTTCACATAATTAAAAAAATTATATATGAATATGCCACAAACAGATGAAAGGACATAACACAGCCAAATTTAATTTTCAATGAGAGCTAATTGGCAGAAACTATAGAATACCACCAGCACAGTGAAGATAGATGCAAGTAAAAGAGGATGTGGGAGAGATTTAAGTGTCACAAAGAAAGGATTAAAAGTTATGGTGTCAAAATGAGTGAAAGCTTCGAGTGCTCAGGAAGGTACAACACCACACCAACACCCGGAGGCAGGACATGAATGCTGAGGGGGACACTGAATAGCGACCTTGTCAGAAGCGGAGAAGGTGGCGCCGACCCTCCAGGGACAAGGTGGTGCATAGAACACAGTGTTCTGACACTAGAGTGCTCACTCGACCTTGAGCGAGCAGGATGTTTTCCCCTAATGACTGGCTGATCAGTTGCTCTTGGGGCTGCGTGTCCCCTTCTAGAAAGACATGTTGGGAGAACCCTAAAACATTAGGGCCAAAAAAGATCTTCAGTCAGCAGGTTCACATTAACTTTGATACCAACACATTTGTCCAAGGAAAACCTGGTTACTCATACATGACAGTAATTTCAAAGAAGAGAACCCATCACGCAATTATTGAAATGGAATTCAAATCAAACTGACAAGTTATTATTGCAAATGTGAATGCCATGTGGTTTTAAAAGGCTAATTGGTGTTGCTCTAACGTAATAAACCTCTTGTATGTTCCACCAAGGGCAGAGATTCCTGTCTGTTTTTTTGTTTGCTTTTTGTTTTGTTTTTGTTTTGTTTTGTTTTATAGAGCTCTATCTCGAGTGCCTACAACATAGCTGCATAGAGAGCAAGAGCTCAATAAAGGTTATGTTGCTTGAATGAGTGACTGTAATTAGGATGATGAATACAGGGAAGCTTCAAGTGCTTGCCTTCAAGAAGAAATACTGTAGGCCTCTATGTTTTTACAATGTTCATAATTTTCCTCTAATAAGCAAGACTATGCCAAAAACAACAGAAGAAGGCTGCTTTTGAGGTTAATCTAAGTAGACAAAAAAATTAAAACAATATAAGATGGGGAATGCTTCATTAATTATACATCTGATTAAATATAAATGGCTTAAATATGGATAAAAACATGTTCTCTCAGATATAACTATATCTGAAAATGTATGTATCCATATTTTGATGATATTACTATGGTGTTTAAAATTATTGTAAAGCCAATTAATGAATTAAAAATTAAAAAACGATGTTTATATATACGTACTTATTTTTATAAAGGCATGCTTTGGCCTTTTTCATTGATTTTGGTATATATTTTAAACAAAATGCATGATTAAAATACCTAGCATGTATTATTTTGACAGAAATAAAATGATACCTTATCCCTTTTAAAGCAATACTGTAAAATTCACTTAGTGACTAAAAATGTGTGAGAACAAAGAATACATATTTATTACCAAAAGCACATAAAGCAGTGTCATTCAACTTCTATTCAGATTGGCAATTTTTCTTTTTCTTTTAAGTAAAATTATTTTTAAAGCTATAATGATTTTGATTCTGAGTATTTATTCATTTAAGAACAACAAAACGGGAAAAAGTCAGGTTGAAGATAACAAAAAGATGTTCAGCTTAGATTTTTAATAAAGGTGTATTTTACTTTCTTGAGCTATCAATTAGTGCTTTATCACACTATAGTTCAAACCCTGAAACCTGGGCTGTTTCCTCAATTTCCAAATTAAAATAAAAAGTAACTCATAGTGTTCTATATATTAAAACTGTTTATTCCAAATTGACTATCGACATTAACTGAACTATATAGAATTAATTTCTATGGGATAGAGTACATCATCAAGTCCTTTCCAGCGATAAGAGATTTATCTATTACTCTTTGAAAGCCATTATCATGACAATAAACTTCAATCCTTGTTCAAGATACACTTTCTAAACGTGGCTTGCAAATGGAATTACACAGTTTTCACCTTATTACTGAGAAATGTCATGGATATTACAATTTCACTTAAATCTTGCTCCATTCCTTAAAGCAATTCACAAGCACTAAAAGAAAAACTCAAATGTGACTTGAAATGTAAATAATTTAGGTGAACTTTCTGTGACACCAAACTAAATGGCAAAAGTATAAAAAGCAATTTCAGGAGCAAATAAACGGCTTCCTGGGTGAATATTCACAGCTCAACCACATATAGTGTTCCATCTCCTGAACCACAAGGCTTGCAGTGTCTGAAAACAGCCTGTAATGTTTGATGTTAATCGTTTAGCACAAGATATGCTTTTTTCTTTGACATGAAAAGTCCCTCAATAATGAAAGAGTTCCTGCCCCCAGCCACTCTGTAACAAGCATGAGATCACACACCAAAAGAGAAGCACAGAAAGCCACTTTGCCAGAGGAAGTAAGGAATGTGGTAGCAATGATGAATTATGAAGGGGAAGCTGGGGAGAGGAAAAATGCAGAGCTTGGAGAGAGAAGAGCAAGGTTTTGCAGAGGAGAGATAATAGAACCAAGTATAGTTTGTTTTTAGGCAAGAAGAAAGGACAATTAATCAAGAAATTCTGAGGCACAGGGTGTAAAGTTGAAAGAATCCAGGCTGTTGTGCCCTGATCTTTTCAGTGAAATGGGGTGTGCTAAGAATGTAAGGATGTTAAGAAGAATGACAGAGATTTAGAACAACCCGTTAGAGAATGAAACAGGGAGTGTAGGATGGATAAATAACATAACAGTAACAGCTGTTCCTTACTGAGGATCAATATAGGGTCATCTATTCATGACAGGAACTGAAAGTGTTTGCGCGCATATGCAGGCAGGCTGCATGTATTCATGCATACATGTATCTATATGTGTACACACACAAGTATATACCTATGTACCTTTTTGTATTCTCACACACTAGGAAGTGTTATTATTACTATCTTATTTTATTTTATTTTATTTTATGACTGAGGGTCATAGAGTGACCTGGAGAAAGATAAACAGCTAAAATGTGGTAGAGGCAGGATCCACACAGGTCTGTCCAGCTCCAATGCTTGCTCTCTTTTCTGTCTAGTGAGATAGGATTGTTTGAGTATCATGAGAAAAAAAATGGTAATTTCACATCTCAGGATGTACCATGAATCTTATAACACAAATCATATGTCCAAGTATCAAATTATTTGGCAGGACTTAACAGAACTGTGTTTGAGAGTTTGTGGAATCAAAATATATGGACAATGGTATTTAACAACTACCACTCTAATATGTATATCTGTATCTCTTCCTTTTTAAAAAATGAGTTTGTGGCCGCATATGGTTGCTCACGCTTGTAATCCCAGCACTATGGGAGGCTGAGGCAGGCGGATCACCAGGTCAGGAGTTCAAGAGCAGCCTGACCAACATGGTGAAACCCTGTCTCTACTAAAAATACAAAAATTAGCTGGGCATGGTAGTGTGCACCTGTAATCCAGCTACTCAGGAGGCTGAGGCAGGAGAATCACTTGCACCTGGGAGGCAGAAGTTGCAGTGAGCCAAGATCATGTCACTGCACTCCAGCCTGGGCAACAGAGCGAGACTCTCAAAAAAAAAAAAAAAGAGGTTTAATTCAAACTTATGTATGCCTGACTCTAGTTCACCATCTCCAAATATGTATCTAAACATTTACCACTGAGTTCAATCCATGCGTACTCTCCTTCATCTAAGACTAGAGTTTTGATTTACACTTAAGTAAAACACACTTCTCAATAAAAATTTGAATCTTTTTTTTTTTTTTTTTTTTTTTTTTGAGACGGAGTCTCGCTCTGTCGCCCGGGCTGGAGTGCAGTGGCCGGGTCTCAGCTCACTGCAAGCTCCGCCTCCCGGGTTTCCGCCTCCCGGGTTTACGCCATTCTCCTGCCTCAGCCTCCCGAGTAGCTGGGACTACAGGCGCCCGCCACCTCGCCCGGCTAGCTTTTTGTATTTTTTTTAGTAGAGACGGGGTTTCACCGTGTTAGCCAGGATGGTCTCGATCTCCTGACCTCGTGATCCGCCCGTCTCGGCCTCACAAAGTGCTGCGATTACAGGCTTGAGCCACCGTGCCCGGCCAAAAATTTGAATCTTTAGTCAGACATTTTTGTTGCTGCAAATGGACTTGCAGTAAATTGCTTCTACCAAAACCTAAAAAAAAAAATATGGTTTTGTTTTTTGTTTTTGTTTTTAAACAACTTGTTAAAGGATGGACATGTATGTGGTATTTAAGGTCAAATTTTCAAAGTGGTTCCTATTGTGCTGGTCCCTTACAGGCCTGCACAGGCTCTTTTGCAAGAACACACCATAAAATGCCTATGTAAGCAATTCTAAATAGTAGTCCCAATAAAGAAAGAAAGCATCTCTCAGTTAGAATGTAGAGCGTAGTTTCCACAAGAAGAGAAGTCACTAGAATGGAATGCAGAAATGATGGGCAGCAGTTCTCATGGGTGAATTCACATGAACATGAAAAGCTAGACTTTTATCTTATCAAGAAGCTTCCCAAGAAAATATGATGCTTAAGTGGCTTGGCACAAAAGATATAAATCAGTTCTACTTGTCTCCTAACAACAACTGGTCATCATCTCTTTCGAAATATATTCTTACAAGGCTATCTGTCATGAGGTTACGTTTGTTGAGGGCAATAAAAGGCCTCTAAAATTATGATCATTAAACAGCAAATTTTGCCAGAAACCAATGCACAACTGTGTAGTATGACTCCTTTTGGGAAGTTATCAACTCTCAAAGGCCAGGAGTCAGTGTCCAAAGCATTTATACTGTGTCTTCAGTTCACGTGTAGCTAGATGTAAATTCAAGGTATCTTCTTGATAGCTCTTATTCATAGCTAACATAAATTAGAAAACCCAGGACAGTTCTTCTTTTGTAACTTGCTATTCAACAATTCACACAGAAACTAGGCATGTAGCTTACACTCTAATAAAAATCAATGAAAAGCTTTAATTATAATCAAGCACATCTAAAAGGTTATAGCTTTCTACTTTAAACTATAAGCAAAAGAAAGGCAAGAGTATTAGGAATATAATTTGTAAGTGCCATACATTTGAAAATGAAAGTCTATCAAATCCTTGCTATTCTGATTGGAGGATTAGTGTTTATTCACAGATTACTTTCAGAGTTGCAAAGGCAGATGCCTCAATATCACTAATCTGGAGTTAAGCACCTCCAGTTGACTCTGACATCATCTCATTTTCTAAAATAGTATACTATTGCCAAAAAACTTGTTCACTGATATATCCTTAATATATAACTACACACAGTAGTCACTCAACTAGCAATTTTTTTTTTTTTGAGACGGAGTTTTGCTCTTGTTGCCCAGGCTGGAATGCAATGACGCAATCTCAGCTCACCGCAACCTCCGCCTCCCAGGTTCAAGCGATTCTCCTGCCTCAGTCTCCTGAGTAGCTGGGATTACAGGCATGCACCACGATGTCCAGCTACTTTTGTATTTTTAGTAGCGATGGGGTTTCTCCAGGTTGGTCTCAAACTCCCAAACTCAGGTGATTTGTCTGCCTTGGCCTCCCAAAGTGCTGGGATTACAGGTGTGAGCTACCACGCCCAGCTTCAACTAGTATTTTTAAAAAATGAATGAAAGAATACTGAATAGAATTAAAAGAACACAACTTCAAGGAAAAGGTTTAGTCATATCAAAATAATTGAAATTCTGTAAAGGGGGCTGAAAATGATGGTTGAAGACTGAAAATTTATCTAAGAAATCATAGTTATTTACAATGATGGTAAAGAAATTGCAGTTAATTGAGCTGGGGTTAAAGAATGTGAAAATACAAACATTGGTTCATCAAAGGCTATCTATCTATCAATCGATCAATTTCCTTCCTCAAAGTCCAACTCCTTTTACTACTCAACACTTTTTGTGAGTCCCCTGTATCCTTACTCCATTGTGAATCAAGTTCCCTAAATAGTCATATCTCCACGGACCACTGTCCAGAAGTAAATTTCATCTCCCTTTTACCTACCATATCTGTTGATATGTCTCACACCTACTCATTTTTCAGATCTCAACTCAGTGTTAATATCCTCTGGAAAGCTTTTCTTTTTTGCTACTTGTTATTTTATTACTTGAACTTAGCACATAGTTGGTACATATCTGTTAAATGAATGAATCATTGAATTGTACAAATTCTATCTCTACTAGGCCTATTGGGATAGCCTGGCTGATGCCTTGCATCTACCCTTAGGTCCTTTGATCCACCTTCCAAAAATCAAAGTGATTTATAATTCTGGAACTCAAAACAGATCCTCTGCCTCCCATGTTTAAAGTACACCTGTGGCTCACAGATCAATAAAGAAGTTGAAATTCTTTAGCATGGTATTAACATGGCATAGTGATGTCACTCATTTAATCTCTCAGAATTTCTCTGATTTTATTTTCAGGCCTCTTTTCTATCCACTGAATCCTGTTCTCCATCCCAAAACTGGTACCATTTCCCCAAACTCAAGAAAATATTTCCAATCTCAGTGTTTTCTCATGTTGTCCCCTCTTAGAATACTCCACTCTTCACACATACTTTTATGTATCTGGATTTAGCTCAAGGGACATCTGTTTATGAAGCATTTCCTAATTACATCCTTACCCCACACCTTTCCTTATGTTCATACTGTACCTGTGCATACCTCTATAATGAAAGCTGTGATACTTGAATACACTCATTTATTTACATCTGTGTCCCTTTACATGCTCTCAATCATTGTTGGATAAATGAATGGGTGAATGAATATATGTTAGTTGCAATTCTTAGATCTTTTTACACTATGTTAACAACAAAAAGTGTCAATATGTTGTACCCAAAAATACTTAAAACCTTTGTAGAATTGGACAAATTGCAAACAAAAGGTTAGCAATCCCTTATAATTTTTACACTAACTCAATGTATATCCTTGGTTATAATATACCAGTAGAATATTAGAATATACATTTGTAGAAAAGTGATTTTTTTAAAAGATGGCATTATTTAGATAAATAAGACAGTCAATAATTTGCATATTCCAGGCACTACATTCATTGGTAACATTTAAAATGATATCAGAAACAAAATATTAATGTTCTAATATGTATATAGGAATGAGTATGGATTTAATCCTTATTAGTAATCAGAATGATCACTAAGAGAAATACATAATTATTTTTTGAACCCTAAGATTTAAGAAATGCCTTGAAATTATCCTTCTCTTCTTCAATGAGATCATTTCCATTTAGGGGTAGGTTTAGTTACATGAATGCCTTTAAACATCATAATTTGTGTTTAAGAACTGATCATGTAAAATGAGAGTGACAGCACCCCTAAATATACTCATAAAATGGAAGATGTCAGCACACCACAACACCAAGCCTACCTTTCTGCATCAGAGGCAGTGCCTTTCCTAGTCTGTTTTTGGATGCTAGATCTTTCAGACTTTCTGGAGTGCCTGTGGAATGAAATGTTAAACACAAAATATATGATGAATAAAGCTACATTAACATCATACAATGATAAACGCAATAGACATGAAAAATGGCAACTATATTACCTAAATGATTTTGTCAGTCAGTACTTTTCAAAACTAAATAAACGAATGAATGATGAATGAATAAATAAAATGAAAACCAGAATTGGTGCCAAGTGGAAGACACAAGTTGCCCAACAGAAGATGTGAGAAGCTGACATTTCATTAGTCTAGACAAATATGTCTACAATATGAACCCCTACTGAGCAACTCAGCCTCTGCCGATGACCAAACAAATACAATGGTGAAACGTAATAATGATAAATGTGATGATGGTAATAGTTTAGGTGCTGAAAGGCTTCAAAGGGGTGAAATGCCCTCCACTTTCACAAGTTGAAACTTGGTGCTACAAAGATTTTTTCGTTCTGTTCCCCACAAATTGTGAAGAAAAGAGAAGAAAAATGCTATAATGAAAGTATTTATATAAACTATTAAAATCATTAAAAATTTTTTCATAAAGATGCTTGTATAAATTATATAGTATTTTTAAAAGCACATAGCATTTTAATCACATTACAAACCACAGTCCCCAGTTTATTCTACTGTTTAAAAGTACATGTGTACACTGAACATTTGAAATGCATTTTTCCCACAGAAATAATTTGCTTCTCCACGGCAGCTTACGTATGTCTAATTAGCCTAAAATGTCTGACGTACCATATATTTGAAATAAGCAATGTAAAATATTGTGGTCAAGAAGCTCACACTTATTACAAAAAAAGAGTGAAACCCTAAGAATGTGTATTTAATGTTATTATCTACAAATTAAGTTTATTTTTCTTTACTGATAATCCCTTTCCCCCAACAATGTTGAGACAAGTATCTGTCTTTACTTATTAATGTGTGACATCCTAACTAAGTATCTAGTATATACCAAGTTCTGCTAGGCACTAGGAACACATATCAAGGTACAAGCCTGTGACTGCTCATCTCTCCCAATCTCTTCCACTTTCCCCAGAAATTGTGTTCACACTCTCTTGCCCCTTCAATTCAGCGTTTCCGCTGTGTGTTTTCAGACTCGTGTTAATCTGACATCCCACTTCTAAGATAAAAAAGGAAGAAATAGAGGAAGGAGACATCATATTCCCTTACTAGTTGGAAAAGAGGGTACTCAATATATTGAGGGATAACTATGGCAGGCACTGGGGGGGGGGGTATAAACGTATTAAACTCCATGAAAATCCTTTAAGAATGTGTCATTTCCATTTTGTAGATGAAGAAACAGGCTTAGGGAAAGGCTACTCAGTTAGAAAGTGGCAAAGCTAGGATTAAAATCTAAGTCTATCTGGCTCCTAAGCTGTTTCTGTTATATACTATACAGCAAAGAGTGGAGGAGATAGATTCTAACACACGCCTTATGGGTGTATCTTTGTTCTGGAATGAAGAAATGAAACCATGAAATCAGGTGCCAGGAAATCACTAACAGATGACTCTCTCTCTCTGACATTAAGGTTCTTATTTACCTGATTGCTTCTATGGTCAGGAGAGGGGATCATGGGTGGTAGGCGGGCAGAGACTTCATGATTGATTTCATGGCTGAAATCAAAGGGAGATGTTGTTGGGAATGGAATCTTGTTCCTGAAGCACAGGGAAGAATGCATAAGCATAGTGGGAGGATGAGAAGTAAGGGGAGAAGAGAGGATTGGTAATTAGATCTGCAGGCTCAGGAGGTATTGGAGCTCGAAATAAAAATATAGTTATGGGAAATTTACACTTGGTCCCCACAGTGCTTGGGCAACTGACTGGAAGATCAAATGCTCCTTTTCTCATCTTCAACACAAGTAGAGCAGATGAGAGTGGACAGATTCAGGAAGACCCACAAAACTCACTGTTGTTAAGATTTCCAATCATTCATTCATTCATCCAACAAATACTTGTGCATGTGTATGTACTAGGCACTGTTCTAGGTGGTTGGAATATGTCTGTGGAAAAAAAACACAATTATCTCTACCTTCAAGAAATGTACATTTTGTTGATACAAGACAAAAAATAAACAACAAAAAGTAGCTCAAATAAGTACATTATATAGTATGGGAAAAGGTGATACATGCCAACAACAAAAGTAAACCAGGGTAAGAAGGTGGGAGTTTAGGGGCAGGGGCAGATTGCAATTTTAAGTAGGGTGGTTGGAAAGGACTTATTGAAATAGTGACATTTTGGCAAAGACGTAAAGTGAAGGAGATAGCCATGTATATTGTTAGAGAAAAAGTATCTCAGGAAAAGGGAAGAAATAATAAGAAATAATAAGGAGGCAGGGGTCAAGAGAGGTGATTCAGATGAAAAATTTTATAGGAGAAGACAGAGAAATCATGTAGAATCTGGTGGGCCCTTGAATAAGACTTCTGCACAATCAAAGGGTTATAGGCATCTTTTTGAAATAGCCTGCTTTTCTTCTGATCCCTGGCAACTTCTATTAATTTCTGGACCCAATTGATATTTCATTTCCTCTGTGAAACTTTCAAACTCCTCCTCCTCTTTTCATCTCCTAAAATGTAATGGATTCATATATTAGATTATCACAGTAATCAATGATTGTTAAAACAGTGATGATGATATTACTAATATATAACATTTACTGAGAGCTTTCTCTGTGCTAGCATGTCCACTTTATCTGCATTATCTTATACCTTCTTTCCAATTCAGAAGTAGGTACTACTCTTTTATTCTTTTTAGGAATAAGCAAATTGAGAGTTAGAGATTACTTTGTTCTAGCTTACATGGTCATTCAACATCTAGCCAGGAGGTGAACTGAGTGTCCATAATCTGAACAGCAGTAATGATGTTGTATCTCTGGCATAAGTGGCTAAAATAATTAATTCTAGAGTCAGACTGGGTGTAATCTCAGCTCTGTTTCTGGCTAGTCAGGCGATTTTGGTGAAGTTACTTAATGTCTCCATGCTTTAGTTTTCTTTTACCTAAAGAGTGGCCATAATACCACTACCACTGCACAGATTTTGCTAATTTTAAATATTTCAGTAGTACTTAGTATTGTAGTATTTGTAGTTTTTGTAGTATTACATAGAATTAGAATTGACTGTTTTTTGCATTACTTGGAATTAGCAAGTGGTGCTATTAAAATATTGCTTTAAATATTTGTTTTTTGAAGGCAAAGACTTTTCTTACTCATCTATAAAAATATAAAACTCAGAGCCAGTGCTCTATAACTGGATAACAAATATTCATGCAAAGGCTCATAATCTAACTTTTTAATTTTTGTTTTCATTTTTAACCCTCTTATTGAGGACGCCCCTTTTTTCTCTTCAAATATCAATGAAATTTACTTTCATTAAAGATTCTTCTAAAGATAACTACAAAGGATATGTCTTTACACTCTTCTAACCCCTTAAAAGAATATGCAAATTGAGTTAAAATGATATGCACTTAATTGCAATAATTTCCTGTAAAGGAGAAGAGAATAAAATAGAAAATTCTAACGTTATTTTCTATTTTCAATCCTAAATTATAGCCAAAATATTGTATATTTTAACACAGCCATTTCTTAGAATAAATTGGATTGAGATATGTAAAATAGGAAAAGTTAGAACAATCCATAGGAATTTTATAGACATTAAAATCCTATAGACATTAAAATTCCACTATTCCATGTATAACCAGTTAAGTTTAGAGACGAGGAAAGTTAGTCCACAAAAGTTTAAGTGTCTTATCCAAGCTATGACAGACCTTAATAAGTTGATGAGGATAACACCATCACACCCCTAAGTGCTTAAGTTATCTGCTGACTCTGCCACATGTTCACTTTGAATGATTAGATGTTTACCTGAGAGATCCCTGGGCACGAGTGAACAAGACAAGACTGTTTCAGTGTTTTCATTATGTTTATAGTCATTAGACTTTTTTTTAAGTCTAAACATGCTTTTTTGTTCTGGTATAAGTTTTTTATCTTTACAGTATTATTCATAAAGAATATTTACTTGGTTTACACATGCAAGAATCAGAAATCTTGAGTTTTTCTCCCTTTATTCACAACTGAATTGTTATGTAATTTTTGGCCTTATGCTTTCTCGTTCACAGTGTACTAAAGAAATTCTTTTTTTTTTTTTTTTTTTTTTTTGAGACGGAGTCTCGCTCTGTCGCCCAGGCTGGAGTGCAGTGGCCAGATCTCAGCTCACTGCAAGCTCCGCCTCCCGGGTTCCCGCCATTCTCCTGCCTCAGCCTCCCCAGTAGCTGGGACCACAGGCGCCGCCACCTCGCCCGGCTAATTTTTTGTGTTTTTAGTAGAGACGGGGTTTCGCCGTGTTAGCCAGGATGGTCTCGATCTCCTGACCTTGTGATCCGCCCGTCTCAGCCTCCCAAAGTGCTGGGATTACAGGCTTGAGCCACCGCGCCCGGCCAAGAAATTCTTTTAAAGCTATAAAGGTACATTCAAATGTGAGGTATAGAACAATTATTTTATTATTAAATCAAAGCAAGAGTAAAAATCAGAAAATGGGATGTTTCTACTTAAACCTGAATTCTTTTGAAGTTCCATTTTCAGTGATTATTTCCTCTCTATTAATTTAGTGTGAAGATTTATAAAATGAACTGATGAAAAAGAGATAATTGTTAAAAATTTATGTGTTTTCTTTTCCTTTTCAATATCTAATTTCAGTTAGGGTAACTCCCTAAAGACATAGGTAAATAAAGCTTTTCTGAAGGCATTAAAATTTTATTAAATGACAAAATTAATACTAAAATGTTATTAAAGGACAAAATTAACATTACGTAGTAGACTTTTCTTTTGCTTTGGAAATACTGTAGCAAAAGTCTACTACATAATGTTTTCATTTAATTAGAGCTAACACTTGTATCATAAGAATATATCTGTCTATATTTTGGCTACTTAGATGGCTTATACTGTCTTAATGTGCAATGCAAATTTCTATCACCCTATTTACTCATTAAGTTTGGGAAGGAAAAATTAA